TGGGGGCCCTTCCAAGTCCTGCTCGTGTGGAACCTGTTCCTGGTTTAAAAAAAAAAAAATCACTACTTCAACCTCCTCCTCTTATAGGTGAGGAGACTGAAGGCTAGAAAGTAAAGACTTGATGGTGACAGCCTGGGATCTTAATGCCACATACACACACCCATATATGACATATTTCTAATGGATTATGTACAACAGTCATTATTTTAAAAGATGTATGAAAACAGACAGATTGTGTCTAGTCACCAGTTGCAATATTCAGGAAAAAAAACCTCTACCTAAAAGGAAAAAAAAATTGAATTATAGTACAGAAAGATTTGCCTTTAAAGTGAAGGTATTTTTACCTCAAATGTCATTCTTTACTAAATGAAGTACGGAAATGGGAAGTAAACAAATGCAATTTCTGAACTTCTGTTGAGAAAGTGAGTAAACAACTGACACACTGAGAATTTTACACTGAATATAAATGGCTTCGTTACTCAGACATCATAGTGAAGTAGGAGGATATGAGGAGCTTAGAGTAGGTCTCAGCGAGCCCAGCTTCACAGAGTAAATACCATCAGAGTCATAAAAGCCAGAATTAGAAATCTTTTTTTATATACCCTCCTTCCCTCATTTGCTATTGGAGATAATATAGGCCTAATTTTTAAAATTAGATTGCTTGAAGGTGCTGTTAGTCATATGCATTAATGTCACATTTACTTTGAAATAAGTAGTGATGGGCCTGAAAGCATAGATTCTGGGCCCCACTGCTGAAATTGATAGTCCGTCTCTGTCCATGTTCTTTGCTGAGGACTTGGAGCGGGACCTCACCGGGCCTGTTTGTTTTTCAGTGAATGGAACCCAGAATGTCTCCATCGCAGGATTAGTTTGAAGTTTAATAACAGCGATCAGTAATTGTTAGATGTTATTTTTATTTCTGTCACATCTGGTTGCTGCTTGAACTGGGGAACAGTGGAATAGTTTGGGATTCATTTAGAGCATGAAATTAACGGAAAATTCTTGGGAGAGGAAGTAGCTCTCAGTTGTTTTGACTCTAGAGATAAGGCGATGTGGTAACTTGCTTTGGTTACTTTTTATATTTTATAGCTTACTAACTGTTAACACATTAAGCGATTAAGTATATATCTGGTGTCAGTGCTCTTTTTCTGGGCATCTAGTTTAAAGTTATAATCATGTAAAGCGATATATCGTATATTGCTTCATGCCAGAGTTGAATCCTATTCATTTCCACATCTTTTAAGGAAAGCTAATGATGTGTAACATAATATTTTCCTTGTAGGACTTTATAAATCTACTATTAATTTTTTCCAACTAAAGTAATGCTTTTCAAAAAGCTCCTAATTAAAAATATAATACACCCAAATGACATTACTGCCTTTGCTTTTATTAAGTTCTCATCAGTTAGGTAAAGGTCTGGTAGAGCTTGATGATGGGAACTTATGCAGTGGTCGTTACATTGTACCTCTAGCAGCAGCCACCAAATACAGTGTGTTTCCAGTACTTTCTTCTTGGTTTTCTCTGTCAGCTAGGTGGAAAGCTTCTAACTAGGAGCTTCTACTTTTTGTCTTTTACACTGAGAACCTCTGGCTGTTCATTAATTCTTGTTAGTTCATTGTGTTCTTACATCAGTAAGTCTGTCTTCAACAGCAGTGTAACAAAAAGATTTTCTGGACCACCTGAAATTTCAGTTTATGTTAAAAGGTGAGGAAAGCGATTGAAATGGGATGAGTAAGGGGGCAGAGCCTTTTGCACTCACAGTCCTTCCTCCTGAACTGTTTGTCCTTTTCTTTAGAGACATTCTTGTGCTCTCCAAAGTACTCTGTGTCAGTGATCCTGATGGTGCCATTAGGTAAAGGTGGGGTTTCATTCCTACACTCAGTATTCATTGAATATTCTCTGTCTACTCAGAGCTGGTGGGAATGAACAGTAGAGCAGGTTGTGTGGAGAAGAGACTGTCCCCTGGGAAGAGTTGACCGCTGCTGGACCCACAAGCTGGATCCAGGCCAGAACAGAGACTGTTTCCCATAACTCCCAGGAGGCTGCCTGGCCGACCTCTCCCCCAGTGCCCCCGAATGCTGGTTCCGGGAAATTTAACCAACAGGTTGGCAGTGTGGTTGAAGAGAAATACAAGAAATGGAGAGCATATGTGTTTCCCAAAATAAAATTAGGATGTGATTACTAGAATAAGGGGAAAGTGATGCTCCGGGAAGGAAAACACCGTCCAATTATGTAAAGTAATCTGATTAGCTAGCATCTCACTCTGCTGTTTGACTTTCAGCTCAGCCATACTGGAAAAGCCAGGTACATGGGACCAGACAGGAAGCTTCTTCCCTGGATCCCCAAAGACCAACAAGGAGGTGTCCGTGGATGCCATGTGACGCTAAATGAGAGATCAGTGTTTTGTGCTTTTCAAAAATTAACTTTTTTAATTTTTGTTTAAATTTTTGTTAATAAAAATTTCAAAGATCATACAGAGTTCCTATACCCCCTCCCTGTTTTTCCTATTATGAACATCTTACATTAATATGGTACCCTTTTTTTATGATTAATGAACCAGTATTAGTATATTATTATTAATTAAAGTTCCTATTTTATTCAGATTTCCTTAGGTTTTACCTAATTTCCTTTTTCTTCTCTAGAGTCCCACCCAAGACACCCCATTACATTTAGTTTCATGTCCCCCAAGGCTCCTTTGGTCTGTGACAATTTCTCATACTTTACTTGTTTTTAGTGACCTATACAGTTTTCAGGAATACTGGTCAGGTATTTTGTGGAATGTCCCTCAGTTGAGGTTTATCTGATGTTTTTCTCATGATGAGACTGGGGGTAAGTGATTTGGGGAGGAAGACCAACCACAGAGATAAAGTGCCATTTTTATGACCTGTCATCTCGAGGGTTCGTACTGTCAACATGATTTTCACTGTGGGTGTTGGCCTTGAGCGTATTACCGAGGTAACATATGTCAGGTTTCTCCACTGTGAAGTTACTCTTTTCTTTCCTCATTTCCATACTGTTTTCTTTGGAAGGAAGTCACTATGCATCCCAGGCTTAAGGAGTAGGGAGCTACATTCCGTCTAGACAGGAGAGGTTTTGCGAAAATCATTTAGAATTATTCTGCCTAAGAGTTTTCTCTCTTCTCTCCCACTTGTTCATTTATTCAGTCATTTATTTCTATGAGTATGGATGCATGGACATTTATACTTTGGGTTGTGTTCCAACATTATTTTATTGCTGACCTGGGTCTGACTTTGGCCTTTGGGAACTCTTTTTGTTAATTCTTATGTCCCTTTGACATAGTCTCATCAGCGTAGGCTTTTGGGGTTTTAATTAGCATTTTCTTCTTTCTGGCACAAGATGTTCATTTTATTTTGTGTATTTCTGTCCTAGGCCTAGATTCGGCCACTTCTTTAAGCAGCCCTGGTTCCTTTATTGGAGGATGGTGTTGGAAATCAAGACCTCGGTGCTAGGTGTACTCTTTGCTCTTGGGGTATAATCGCTCGGCTGACAGAGCGAGGAAGTGTATGTGTGTATACTAACCTGTGTCTGTGCACACCCTTAACTTTCTGTGTGTAACCGTCTGTGTCTGTGTTAAGCTAAACACGAGTTCATACTGATGTCCCCAGCTCATCCATCACACATAGATCATTCCAGCCTCCTTGCCTTGCTTTTGTGTAAGCTCTTACTGCAGCAGTGAAAAGTCTGACCCCCACTGGCCAGCAGCCATGTGCTTAACTGTTCGATTCCAGAACACATGTATCAGCATCAGAATTACCAACCCAAAGCCCTGTGGGAGATTATCAACTAGAGTATGGTGCTTACATCGTTTCTTTTGCCTGTAGTCTTAAAGATTCCACTCATTTCCAGATTGCTTAGATCAGCCCTGTACCCCACCTCCACCCACTTCAGTGAGCTGGTTTCCTACATTTGTCATATAGTGAAATTGTTTTGTCACATCTGCCTTCCATGCTGGGCTCCCCTGATCTTCTAAATGATTTTAGTTGTAGACATTGGGTTCACTGTGCGCTGTGGAGTGGTTTTGACAAATGCGTGGTGTCATGTTTTCCATGACAGTATCATGCAGAAGTTTCACTGTCCTGAGACATTCCCTGAGCTTCACTTGTTCAGCCCTCCCTTTCTCTCCCCAAATCCCAAGAACCACTGTCTCTTTATCATCTCTAGTATTGCTTTATCCAGAATGGCGTATACTTGAAATCATACAGCATGTAGCCTTCGCTTACTTTTTGTCAGTGAATAATGGTCTCTTGTGTGATGTATGCTTTGTCTGTCTTCGCCTGCTGAAGGGGCACCTTGATTGTGTCCAGTTTCTGGTGATTGTGAATAAAGCTGCTATCAGGAATGGCATGCAGATTTTTCTGTGTACGTAAGTTTTCAAATCAGTGGGTAAATACCTAGGCACACAGTTGCTGGATTGTGTGGTGAAAGTGTGTTAGATCTTTACTTATCTTGGCTTTGCGTTGTGCTCTATTTTGTAGAGCAAAATAATCTCCTTTTGCCGTTTTCCTTGCCCCCCGCCATAATCTCTTTTGACTACTTACCCCAGGACATATCATCCCTACAAAGAACAGATATAAAATGTCAACTTACCATTTTTGAGGGAAATAACAATCCTCTAGTGACCTTTCTGTGTGTTCATGATATTTCCAATAATCTATCAGTGAAAATAATTAGCCGCATCTAGTTGAATTTAACTATTTTGTGCTTTCTGGCAGTAGAGTAGGAATAGATATTTTACAGATGGTTTACACAGCCTTTATGTTGTTAAAACTAGTTTCTAATTGGGTTGTATTGCTTTATTTGAAAGCATTTCAAAGTAGCTAAAACCCTAAGAGTTAGTCATAGTTTCCTCTTTAAGTATCACCATCAGGCAGTACATTTTTAAAATATAAAATTGTGTCAGTTAACTTGAAGGTGAAGGATTTTATTTAAATCAGATTTATGTTTCTGTTAAGTGATAGTATGTTTTGTTTCCTTCACAGCATTTATTCAGTCGGAGAGCATCATAGAAGTACTGCGTTTTGATGACGGAGGGCTGCTACAGGTAATTTTATTTTAAGTTGAAGAATTATGTCAGTGTCAAGCCTTGAATACTATCTCAGTATTTGTCTTTTAAAAATGTAACTGGCTTCTGTGCCATGTATTTTATGAGCTTTATGTCCGGCTAGGTCAGTAGAGTCGCTGGTAATAAAAACATCTGTAGCTGTATGAATTATCTTTTAAGTATTTCTGGGTGGTGTTGGCAAAGGTGGGGGTTCATACCAGGATCAGTGGGACCAGTGAATGAAACACCAAATTCAGATGTTGGCCCTCACACGTTTAGCAGGATGAAAACTTGTCCAGAGAGCGTAAGTTCTGTCCGTAATTACATCTCTGTTATCCTTCCACTTGCCATCTTAAACCCATCTTTAAATATATTTTACGTAAAATTAGAAAGTGTACTCTTCAGCCTGCCGAGTGGCTCAGTTGGTTAAGAGCTTGCTCAAGAGTGCGAGCTCTGAGCAACAGGGTCACCGGTTCAATTCCAACATGGGCCAGTGAGCTGTCCCTGAGCTGAGTTGCCGCTGAGCTGCCAACAGGTGGCAGGATGGCTCAGCTGGTGAGAGCCTGTGCTCCTAACAACAAGGTTGCCTGTTTGAGACGGTGGCTACACTCACCCGCAACTAATTGAACACAGCACCTTGAGCTGAGTGGCACCACTGGACTTGGAGCTGAGCTTGCTGCGCCCTCCACAACTTAGATTGAAGGACAACAACTTGGCTGTTCCCCTTCTCCAATTCCCCAACAGTGTTCCCCTCCCTCAATTCCCTGATAAAAAAAAATCTTTAAGAAAAAAAGAAAGTGTACTCTGATAAAATCCTGTTCTTTTCAGACCTAGTTCACATAGCACCGTGAAGCCTATTTTAGTCTTCCCAGCTAAAAATCTGTTCTAGAATTTCAGAGCTGAAAGGCACAGTAAAAGCCATCTTAACCAATCCTTTGATGTCTATGGCTGAGGTGTATCCTCCTTTCTTCCAAACTTTTATCATATTCTATGCTTATCTTATAGTACTTACCACTTTGTAATGATAGCATTTGTTTTCAAGTATCATGTTATTGGTAGCATGACTGATGATGTTTTCGTCATTGTATGTTCAAGGGAAACTACGTTTTAGATTAAGAAAGGTGCCCAAGATCCCCTGACTGGTGGTGGGTCTGGCAGTAGAGTTCTGGACTTCGCCCGCTAGGTCTGATTGTTAGTTTGTTACGTGGCACTACCCATGATGGGTCTTTGTACTTGTTTATAATGAAATCTATTACTTACTTATAGTGCTGAAAAACTACTTCCTGTGGTTTTTAATTAAGGCAGGAAAGTAAATATTAAAGGCTATAGAGAAATAATTCTGCTAGGGACCTGGAATAAGATTGCTATTTGCATTTGAGCATAAATTTAGATTTCGACACTAAGCCAAACAAAGTCAGTGAGATAAACAGTGATGGGCGTTTTAAGGTTCTTTTTCTCTGACAATGAAGTAAGTGTTCTGGATGACAGCTTTTAAATCGTTAAATGTATCATTCACGCCTGTATGTAAGAGATGTTGAGAAACAGCAGGCAGTGTCTGCATGGTATTTGCAGAAAGTCTTTGTATGGCTTTTGTATTTTAAAATTGAAGATAATATTATTCAGAATAATGTTGAATGTCAACTATAATAATATAGTCACGGGTTGTGAAGTGCAGCATAGGGAAAAAAGTCAGTGGAATTGTAACAGCTACATACAGTGTCAGAGGGGTAGTAGATTGGGGGAGGGAGGATATCACTTTGTGAGGGGTGAAATGTCTGTTACATTGTTTTGTATACCTGAAACTAATAAAAAAAAAGAACCCTGAAGATAATATAATTGTCTAATTTTGTAATGCCTTCTTACTAGAAAATGATCTCAGTCTTTTTTCCCCCTAGTTCTTCAATCTGTTACAAGGTGAAAACTTGGAAAACCTATAGGAATGACTGTTTTAAATATCTCCCTTCACGTGGTTGTTTGCAGGACTGTGTGGCAGGAAAATCAGGAGGGAATTTCTGGGAAATTCTCCAAATATAGTTAATTTTTATTGATTGAGGAAGGGATCCATGTCCTTTAGGAATGAGACATCTAGATTGCAAGTTGATCATTCATTTTGAAAACTCTGGATCCTGATTTGTATTTTTGCTGGGGGAGGCTGCCAGTCCATGTCTGAGTGAATTTGCTGTGGAAGAGCTTGTTGACTGGGATGTGATTTGCTCATATGCTGTGGGTCTGCTGAAATGCTTGGATGACAGCTTGGTCGAGACCTCAGATCTGGCAAAGGTCATTTTGGAATGAAAAGGTGTTGAGGACAGGTGGTACCAATTGGTTCCCTCAGCTGCAGTAAAACCTCACTTAGACTCCTGCACAGATGTTGAGATGCTATATGTAATGTGTTTCATAGCCCCAAGGAGTGGAAGATAAGATCCTTTTGAATTGATGCATACAAATCGTTCATTTTAATGTTGAAGGGTGTTTCCTAGGGATAGTTTTGATTTTGATATGATGTCATTCTTTCCGACAATAATTTCCCAATAGGTTTAAGTATTTCATAAACAACATCTGGTTTCTTAGGGTACAATTAGAATGGAAATATCTACATGAGTATTTCTGTGGAAGAATATATATCAGGTTTCTCCAAATTGAATTAAAAGCAACAGCCGTATTTTACACCTGAGAGACAGGACACTGGCGATCCACACCTGGAAGCCACCCAGGACACCCTCGCCAGTGTCACTCCCCCGTGCCCCGGGTGAGCCTCTCTCCGCACTGACAGCCTTTCCCACCAGCTGCACTTTCATTGGGACCTGCAGGCAGTTCACTTGCCCCTACCCAGAGGTGCACTTTCTGGCTGGACACTAATAGGCAAAGCCACAGCCTTGTTTTACATTACTTAAAATGAGAATTTGGCCTGAGAGCATTCTTTCCCTCTCCTGGAATTTGTGCTATGTTCATGTGACTTGGCTCTTAGTAATTGTTTTAGTCCTAAAAATTAGTTGATGTTAAGTCAGAAAAAATTGCCAAACTTTATAGAGTTGATACAAGATTGGATTTGCTTTGATTTTTTTTTTTTAAGATAAGGCAAATGAAATTCAGAGAAGTTAAATACAGAAATACCTTGGTTTGCAAGCATAATTCGTTCCGGAAACAAACTACCTGTATTGTACATTGTTCGTTTACCATATTAAAATGTGTTAGGGGCCGGCCGAGTGGCTCAGTTGGTTAACAGTTGGCTTAAGAGCACAAGCTCTGAGCAATAGGGCCGCCGGTTTGATTCCCACGTGGGCCAGTGATGCTGCACCCGAGCTGAACTGTCACTGAGCTGCCAACAGGTGGCAGGATGACTCAGCTGGTGTAACAACAAGATTGCCTGTTTGATGGTGGGCTATGCCCACCTGCAACTAAGACTGAACTCAGCACCTTGAGCTGAGCTGCCACCTGGATGACTCAGTGGACAGAGCGTGCGCTCTTAACAACAAGGCTGCTGGTTCTACTCCTGCATGGGATGGTGGCTACGCCCACCTGCAACTAAGATTGAACACAGCACCTTGAGCTTAGAGGCCACGAGCTGCCGACGGGAAGCCAAATGGCGACTGGCACCCTCCACAACAAAGATTGAAAAACAACTTGGCCGGTCCCCTTCCCCAATTCCCCAACACTGTTCCCCTCCCCCAATTCCCCAATAAAATCTTAAAAAATATATATATATTAGAAATGTTTGCTCATCTTGCGGAACACTCACAAACCAAGTCACTCACAATCCAAGGTTTCATTGTCATTTGCTCAGTGTTCAGTTGCGAGAACAGGAATCCAACGTTCAGGAGGCACATAGCCTGTTTTGTTTCAGAGCTCTTTCCACAGCACAAGGCACGTGCAGCTCTCCAGCCCATTCCATGGGTTACCACTGGTAACACTAGGTTATGATTAACATAACAGGAATCCCCCTAGTCCACGTGTTCTGTAGTGGGTGCTTTGGCCCTTCTTTCCTGCTTGGCAGGACTACTAAGATTTGGTGTACAGAATTTATAAAGATCAAACAGTCCCTGCGCTGAGCCCAGAACACTTTTGCGTCTCAGCAGCAGAAGCAGGCATTAAGACTCCTCACCATACGCGGTCCTGGGTAAACATTTCAAACCATTATTCCAGTCCTAACTGATCAAAGTGCTTGGCTCTTCCTAATGTGTTCCTTTGAAAGATTCTCAGATTGAATTTAAAAAGATATTCTTTTATTTATAAGCTTTAATCTGTCCTAATCTAACTTTCTTAGAAACAAATGAAAATAAAGCCCAAGGAAAAGGCTAGCTCTGTATTTTTTCACTATTCTGCCAGAATAATTAACAGAATTTTAAGGCAAGCTCCATAATGTTCATGAGTTGAGAGCACAACGCAGAGTTTAGTATGTTCTTCTAAAGCCAGTCACTATAGGAATCCGTAATTTTGTGTTCTAACTTAGTCAAGAAACAAGTGGTCATAAATATTCTTAGTGCTCATTGTATGCTCATTGGTTATTCTAATAACTTACAGGCATTTGTTATTGCTACTCACCACAGGGCTTTCAGGAGCCCAGGAGGGGAAGCCCAGACTACAGGGCAGTGATAGCTAGAACTAACGTTTTTTTGAGCGCTTGTTGGAGTCTCAGCTCATTCATGAATTTGCCCAAAATTTCAGTACTAACAAGGGGTGCAGGAGGAATAAAAAAAAGCAAGTTTAATTCCAAAGCTCTTACACTTTTCTTTCTGTTGCTCTCCTGCCTGAGATTAATGGGGTTGCCTTAGAGGAAAGAGCTAAATTCCTAATTGGTGTGCTTAGGAGGTAGGCTGGTATGGGAGGCCTTTTTATACACACACAACAGATAATAAACTTCTGAAAGACAAAGAGAATCTTGAAAGCAGCCAGAGGGAAGTGGCTCATCAGACACAAGGGATCCTTAATAAGATTGTCAACAGACTTGTCATCACCAACTCTGCAGGCCAGAAGGCAGTGGGCCAATATATCCAAAGCTG